ATAAGATTATCTCAAAATCTATTTTTATATCTAATTATAAAATTTAAAAAATGGTTAAAATAAAGTAGATCTATGAACATATGAAAATCTTGAAAATGGACGATGTAGATAATATGTTGTAAAATGCACTATTTATGAGACTTAAAATCTTTTTGTTTTTCATAGTCATACATCTTGATGTCGAGATGATCAATCAATTTTCAACATTAAAACTACCTTTTCCGATGGATTTTTGAGGGGCATTCGTAGTTCTACATTATAAGGTAGCATCATTTTATAAACTTTTTCCTTACAAGGTGCACTATTTCCAATAATTGAAATCCTTTTTTCTTCACATACATACATCTTAAAATATATCACAAGATGCACTATTTCCAATACTTGAAATTCATTTTTCTTTATGTGCATATACCTTGAGGTCGAGCTGATCGATTTGAGGATTTTTGGGCATCAAAACAACTTCTTATAATGAAGTTTTGAGGTGCGCCTCAATTTAATTGTTTAGGGCCTCACCCTTTCTATAAACTTGGATAAAGTTTCTATAAGGCCTAGCCTTTATGAAAACAAAATAAAGCCTTACATCAAATCCTTGCCCGAAAAGCACTTTCGACAACAGAATGGCCCTCAAATCAATTTCCAACACCAATAATAAAATTAGAATCTAAAAAACTGATATAGATCTTGTGGATCTTTGAATTCTTATTTTTAAGGCGAAATAGACAATCTAGATAATTTGTTACAATATACACTATTTTTGCTTGAAATCTTATTTTTTTCACAATCATAAGATTCAAGCTGAGATGATCAATGCAAAGGTTTTCTAATGCTTGAATTGCAATTTTTCGATTAATTATAAGATGAGACCTTACTTATTTTGATGGGGCTGTCATTTTCCTAATAAACTTTTTCCCTCTCTAAGGTCATGTTTGGTATGCATGAAAATACTTCTATTAAAGTATTTTCACATGAAAAAACTCCCTCATGTGATTAGACATATGAGTTTTTTCACAAGAATGGGTTATAGTGCATTTCTTTCACATTAATTGGCAACATGTTAGTGTGAAAAAAACTCCCATACTTAATCATATAAATGAATTTTTTCATGTGAAAATACTTTCACATAAATATTTTCATGTACACCAAATGTACCCTAAAATGTATGTATCTTTCTCTTTTGTAATCTCTCTTTTCAATTCCTATATTTCTTATAGATATATCTCTCTATACATCGTAGAAAAATAGTATATAAAAAGACCATAACTTTGAGCACAAGGATATCGCAATCAATTTTATCTTACAGGTTTCAAATTAGGTGTTTATAAAAAGCATCATTACTAGATTCAAAATTCAAACAAACAAAATCTCAATTTTAGTGGCATCCCCCAAACCAATTAATGTGGTATTTAATGACCGTAAGTAATCGTATCCTCTCAATAATAAATATAAGTGGTTGTCATAGTGTACAATCCCCAAATAGAATCGCACACAGCAAGACCATTTGTCTTTTAATACAAGGAAGTCATAATTATCATTTTAGTACAAAGAAGTCACAATTATTGATAACCATGAAATCTAATAGCTTGAGTGTATCACAAAGTTCGATAAAAAATCTTTTGAATATTGAATTTGGTCAATGGAATAGATGCAGCTACCGAATTTCACATCTAGTGGTCAATATTAATTGTGTCCACCTTATACAAAAGGTAAATAATCTCATTGTCTACTTTTCCCTATTATAAAGAGCAATAGAAAAATTCAATAACAACTATAGATTTAAGCAACCAGGGTGAGATTCAAATATGTGGATTTGTCTAAACATTTTGTTGCCTTCTATCTACACACCTTTTCAAAAAAATTATTTTACTGGTGTATACAACATGGCATTTTTTATGGACCATTATTTTACATTATTGGGTTTTGTATTTTAGTTTACTACAATCCCATATCGAGGAACTTTTTTTTTTTTGTCTTCGAACAACAATCCTATACGTTAAAAATGGACTTGCAAATGTACTTTACATTTAATTATGAAATTTAAAACTACAAAAATATTACAAATTGAGCGGATAAAATCTTAAGAATGGACGACCTGGATAATATATTACAAGATGTTATAGTTTTAGACTTGATAATCTTTTAATTTTTTTCCACATCCGTACATCTCGAAGTTGAGATGATCAATTAGAGGGCTTTCAACATCGGACCAATATTTTTAAATTGATTTTTAGGCATTTTTTATGCTACAAGGTTGCAACCTTAGGTAAACTTTTTCCATTTAGTATTGTTGTTGCTGTGCATTATATGATCCGAAAAATGTGTCATATGTTTTGTGACAATTGAGTAAGGTCATTATTGTTTTTATGGAAAGTTGGGATAAAATTTGTCAACTATTACTATAATGATATTAAGTAAAGACATAATTTGTGTTCAATGGCTTTAGTATATCCATACAATAACAATAACAATAAAATTATAATCGTATATTCTGTTATTTTTACATATCGAATTTTTGTTTTCACTTTTTTTTTAAAAAAAAAAAACTCAAAATATTCACAATTTCCTAACTTACCTATTTTTTTTATGTTTCATATTGTGTCATCTTTAATTCTTTTCCAATATTAATTCTTTTTGAAATTTGAGCTTAACCAATAGAATATTTGTAGCCACCCAATTTTACAATTAGTAATCAAGAATAGTTGTGACATCTTTGTAACAAAAATAAATGATCTTATTATATATTTTTCCATATACTGCGTTTCCCAAGTCGTCCTCCGTCACTCTATCTCCTCTTGACTCTTCTTTTCTCTCTACAAATTTCCCTTTCCCCCCTATAATCTTCTCTTCTTTTTTTTCTCTCCACCAAAAAGACGTTAATGAGAAAAAAAAATGTAGAATTTATGAGTGGAGAGGAGAGAAGCAAACATCTCTCTCATTTGAAAAAAGTTATATTGTTTTGTGGACCAAATGAATTAGATGAGAAAGGTTGGACGCCACTTCTCTCTCTCTTCTCGTATAATTTCATTCAGAATCCCCCCCTCTCTCTCTCTCTATCTCTACCAGACAATCCCACTATTTTTCTCTCACTACATGGGTATCCCACTCTTCTTCTCTCTCTCCATGAGAATCCCCCTCTCTCTCCCTCTTTCCCGTGCGAATTTACGCAGAAGATTTCGGTTTTTTAAAAACCAAAATTTTTTCATTTTTGGTTTTCAAAAAGGTAAATTAAAAAAAAATTGATTTTTGAATAATTTATTTTGTTTTTTGTTTTTTGGTTTTTAAAACTCTCTCTCTTACCTTTTTCTAGTGAAGTCTTCTTCACCAACTTTCTCTCCAAATCCTCCTTCTTATGTAGATTCAAGCTCTTTTTTTTGTTGACCAATTAAAACCACTGCTTTCAATCTCATTTTATTTAGATTTATGAATGTAAATGGAGAAAGTTTAGTTTTGGTGAATGGATTTTTTTTGGGGAGGTTGGGGAGAAAGAGAGCCAAAAGTTTATCTTCAATATCCTTTTAGGAAACTTGAATTTCAATTTTGGGCCAAACTCTATTGGTTGTCAGCGTGCTATATTTATCTGAACTTATGAGTTTTTTGGACCATTGCAAGCTTTCACCATCTACATCTTTTCCGGCCGTTTTAACAGGTTTCCATTGATTTTACGAAGTGGTTCAACCAAAATTTTCAACCCGCTTTATCTTAGGTTGAATCTTAATCGTTCGAGGGCGTTTTTTCTATTAGCCATTTCTATGGCATATTAGAGTTTGCAGGGTTTTGCCCCATTGTAAATTTTAAAAAAAAAAAAAAAAAAACTACCGGTAGAAAAAGGGTACAGTGACAGAGAGCTTCAAAAACCAATAAAACACAAAACAAATTTTGTTTTTTAAAAATCGAAATTTTTTAATTTCGATTTTTGAAAACCCGAAATTTTTTTTTAAAAAAAAAAAGGTTTTTCAAATACAAAAAATGGACAGCTTTGTCCTTAAAAAAAAAGTTATTAAGTTGAAAAGTTTTAGGTAGGTATTTTTATACTAACAAAAAATATAATGGATATTTATGTAATTTTCCTAAAAAAATTCCTCTCTCCAGATCTCTTCTTCTTTCTCTCTCTAAGCTTTTCACTCTGTCATCGTTTTACTCATTATTATAAAAGGTGATGTTCCCTTGGATTTTGCAGTTTGAAATTTGAAAGCATGGAATAGCATGTGGTCTCTATGCCCTAACCACCATGCTAAAAGCCTATAAAGGTTTCTAATAAACAAGTAATACACAAACTCTCTCATTCATTTTATAAGAAATAAAATAATGGATTGTATATAATTAGATTATTTAGTTATACTATAAAGAGGTCACAATTAATACATAATTTTTCTTTTGAACTTTAAACTCG